ATCGAGTTGTTGAATGAGCAAAGAAATTATAAATGGTTTCAATTATACCATAAAAGGTAATAACTGTTGTTTCCTGACTTGCAGCATGAAGACATGCTAAGTTCAAACTATGGTTGTCACAGTTTATAAACACTGCTTTTGGATTTTGTTCAGAATTCTTTGTTGAATGCCTGACATGACAGTGGCATTATCATAACATTGTGAACAACAATCACTCAATAAAATCCATCCACTTCTAATTTCGTGCTTATTGTTTTCTCAATATTGGCAGTGTCTTTTCCCTTTATCTGTATAAAGTCAATAAATAACTCTTTGACTTCTTCTTTTCTTGTCTTAAAGTCAATGTCAACATTGGGCCAATTGCTCACGATTGGCTAAATCAGGTGTGGAATCAAACAGAATACCATAGCATTTGTTTCTACGAATTGCTGACATACAATAATTTTGCACATGTGAAGCAATGAGATTTATAAAATCATTTTGGATTTCAGGAGAAAGATAATATGTTGACGTTTGCTTATTTTTAACACACTCTAAATGATCTCTCATTACTGGATCATACTTTGCTAATAACTGCAAAAGTGACAGGTTATTTCCTCAGTATGACCACAAAATGCAAGATTCTGAGAAGCTAAATATTGTGTATAATCCAGCAATTATCGCAGTACATCTCTCCATTTATTTTTATCTTGCTGAATTTGCCTTTGCAGCTCTTCATCAATGCCATTTTGAAGACAAATTCGGTGCTCAGTTTCTTTCCAAGCAACAAATGACTCATGATGACTGTCACTATTTTCATGGGCATTTAACTTTTCAATTTTTTTCCACTTAGAGAATCCACCCTGTGTTTTGAAAGCAGACTGACTATCGGATGTCATACATGTACATAAAAAAGAAGACAACAAAAGCAGTATGCAGGAACGATTGACCTCTTTTTCATTCAGAAGGCATCATTTGAACCAAAATGCAGTCATAGAACGTCCATCTTTGGCATCAAATGGA